ACAACAACAACAACAACTTCTTAAATGTGCAACTCCAATATAAATCTAATTCTTTTTCACTTGGACTAATTCTACTGGGGTACTGGTATAAGATAGGCACCGAATTGCTGTAGGATAGGTTGGTGGTTCAAACCCACCAGTCACTCCTCAGAAACCCTATACAGGGTTGCTACAAGTCAGAATCGGCTCAACGGCACTTAACAACAACGACGACCATCCTATAAAGAATTTGAGGGTTGTACCTTGTCTGCTGCTGCATCCAACTTTCCATTCAGTATCTGAGCCTTTTTAAGGTATCGCTGGACATCCTGAAGATCCCCAAAGGTGCAAAACTCTTCTGCCTGCTTAGAATAACTCTCCAATTCCTCCAGAAACCGTTCACAGCGTAACTAATTAAAAACAATATTAATTAAAACCCTTAACATCTTGAGAACAGTTAAATATTTGTAAGACTCATCAGAATTAGCAGTACTGTATTTTGTCACTGCAAAAATATAAAAACACGATATAGAATATGAAATAGATATAAAACATGTAGGAATTTTAAGAGTCAAGATTACCCACTGAATAGCTCTCATCTTGTCTTAGTGAAAGGAGGGTCTGGTGAAAGGAGATGGGGATAAGATTCGTAAGATTCAATAATGAATAAGTGTTATCATGACTAATTGTGACTGTCACAACTGTAAAGTTAGAAGTTTTGTAACAAAAAGAGGGGAGTAGTTAATCTTACAGTCCAGAAACAGAGGATCCTAGGACCATCAAGGAAGAAGAGCATGAACCGAATGTGGGACCCTATCCAAAGAAGCAGTGACACAAGAGATGGAGGCAGAGATGATGACATGGAGAGAAGAACAGTTTAGGACTCTAGACTCAGAAAGAGAAAGGCTGTGTGCTGGTGGTCAGGAGGCATGCTTGCAGAATGTGCCATTTGGTTGTTTAAATGACTATATATGCCTGAATGTTTTTGTGTACACACCCTTACCCCCAAAACAAACAAACAAACAAAGGGAATAGAAGCAAATACTGTTGAATGATGATGCACGGAGGAGATTATAATCATTGCAATGAAACGATGAGTGTAAAACCGATGTACTCCCATGTAAATAATCATTCAATTTACAATAAAAACTTAAAAAAAAAAAAGAGTCAAGATTATAAATAAATGGATTTAAATATTATGAAGTTAGTTAGGTACTGTCAAGTCAGTTCCAACCCACAGCAACCCTGTATAGGGTTTCCAAGGAGTTTGAACCACCGACCTTGTAATTCAAATCAACTTTGCAGTCCAGCACATTAGCCCACATCACCACACCAGGATTCCTTATAACTCTTTCATAATTTACTATGAAATTAGTCACCTCCGGTATGGCACTGTGGGATAAAGCACTGGTACAAATGGTCATTTTGAACCACAAGGCCAGCGACTCAAACTCATCAGCCATTCCTTGGCGACCCTATACAGGGTCTCTACAAGTTTGAATTGACTTAGCGGCACACAACAACAACAATTCACAATCAAATGAGGTTATCCTTGTCTAGTGTCTGTAAGCAGTTCTAAATAAGAAAATAAAAAGAATGTATTAAACTCTGGAATTATTCAGTATGATGAAGCATTCATATTAACAAATGTTATATAAGCAAGCGTCTGAAAAAAATCTCATAATAATCAAGTATGAGGGTAAAAGAAATCACTGATTTGCTAAAGGATAAAGAGATATCTGTGGCATAATATAAACAATTGGGACAAAACAAAATTTTTTGTGTTTTGGTAATCAGGTGCTCTCTTTAATTATCAATACAAAACTAAATATTATCCTTTTTTGTCATATGAGCTCTCTTTGTAAGACATGGATAAGATAAATATTTCCAGATTTAAAAGTCTAAAAACTATAGTTTTTTGTTTTTCTAATATAAAACAAGTATGTATATTTTTTAATGAGAAAGACTTACTAAAATTTTTTCTTTGATAATGTATTCCAAATTAAATAATTCTAAAAAATGGACCTTAATAAAATACTCAAAAGTCAAATCTAGGTTATTCAAATATAGACTTTATACTTTATAAATTATCTAGGTTAATTTTTGTCCTCTTTTCTATAGTTTCCTGGCAAATATACTATACTGGCCCTTGTGGGAGAAAGAAAATGAGAGGAAAAAATTCATCAACATCATATGTAGTTGGTGGAACAGTATACTTTAGAAAAGGTATAGATAATTCTAGATTGCCTAGCAATTTTCTAAGAGTCTTTTTTATTGTAACATCCGCACTTAATGTTTACTTATGTAACTTAACTTATTTATATTAACAATGCCTTGTTTGGGTTTGCTTACATTTTGAAATGCCTAAACATAAAACAGAAATATAGACTATACAGTTTGATTGGCTATTCAAACCCAACAGCTGCTCCTCAGAAACTTTATACAGGGTCACTATGAGTAGGAACCGATTGGAGGGCACTTAACAATAGCTATATATATATATATAAATTATTCTCCATACAACATATTCTGCCAATTAATTATATCTATTGGGTGATGGTGGTGGTTGTGTGCCGTCAGGTCAGTTCTTACTTATAGCAGCCCTGTATAGGGCTTCAGACACCATACAACTTTATGGGAACAGAAAGACTCATATTTCTCCTACAGAATGCCTGGTAGATCCATACTGTTGACCTTGTGGCTAGCAGCCCAACTCAGAACCCTCAATGCTGCCAGGGCTCACTATATTTGTTATAGTGCAGTAAAAAGAACAAGATTGGCCATTATAGGACAACTCCTCTATTGGCTGACCAGAAACAAGCCTTCTAACTTCAAAGGACCTTACTTTCTTCATCCATACAACAAGACTAAAAAACAAAATCACTTATTCAGAAGGTAGCTATAGTGTGCCCATGATATTCCTGGTGCCGATCCTTGAGCCAGCCAGTGTGAGCATATGAATGGAGCTAGGTATCTAACGGGAAGAGAAATGTGAAATAAAATACAGTGGTAAGATAACTATTCCTGTGAAGATGTTTTCAAAGTGCAACATAAGCCAGAAAAGAAGCAGTCCAGAGGGTAATCAGAAAATTAATTAAAAATGCTAGATAATCATACATATGTATGAAGCAGGGGTGCGCTCTACAGTGAATGGAGAGGATGTACACGAGACAAGAGGTGAAGGAAAACATGGCATATTCAGTGGCCTGGGAGTTGCTCAGGGTCACTGTAAGGAGCAGAGAGATAAGAATGGCAGACAGATTGGGCCAAGTATAACAAAGCAACCCAACCTGTACATAAGACAGAAAAAGAAAAAAAGCTAGAAGTAACAAATGTTAGAGTACTGACTCTGGAGCATAATATTTAAGGGAGATTGAGTGATCATGAGATGTGAATTCATATTTCACATCCTAATGATGAATAGAACCAACTTAAATGAGTGTATCAGATAAATATTTTCTACTAAACGTCACTAGTGGGTGCAGTGCACTGAAATATTTAATCTTTCTTCTAGCCATTGTCTTTGTAAATTCCCACCAAACAACATTTTTGCCTTGATGGGTCTGGATAAGAGAAGGTGGAAGAAGATGCTTACAGGACTATATGATTCAGTTGTGAGTGGTTAGCAGGGTTTACTGTGGTTGTAAAAACCTGGAATGCTAACATGTATAAAATAAGCCATCTCAGAAACAGGAATGAGGACATTTCACTACCATCAAAGAAGAAGAACTAGGAGTAGAGCACATCCTTTGGACCCTCAACCTAGGGACAGCAAGCTGTGATACCAGAGGAGTGACAGAGGAGCACCAGCAGCAGAACTAGGAACCAGAGCACAGAGCCAGGGACTTTCCAGACCACAGAGCAAGTCAAACTGGATGACTATGGCAGGAGCTTTGCCTGTAGAATGGGGTGTCTCTGGACACTTAATTGGGGGAACTAGCTTTGCCGATCCATGGAGCTAGAGAGAAGTGTCATCAAGTGGAGGTTTATGGTGGAGTTGTGTGTCCTCTGCGCATTTATCAGTAACCCTAAAAGAGCTCTGTAACCTTGGCCAGTCTGAGAGAGGCCTGCCTGTGGGCATGGCTGAAGAGAGGCTCTCCAGACTGGAACAACTGTGCTCTGAGCATGTCTGACCCTGTGTTGTAACCTGTTAGCTTCCCTAATAAATCCTATAATTGTGAGTGTACCGTGTGAGTTCTGTATGGTCATTGCAATGAAGTACTAAACCTGGCTGTGTTGAAAGTATTGTAGGAAGGATATTTAATTCATATTTTTTGCAGTTGGCCATAGGTTCCGATGTTTTCTTCCTGTTATAAATATTTTTTTTAATCATTTTTGCTTTTCTGAAATACTGTATGACCTCAGGTCAGTCACCATACTGCTCATTCACTCCTTCATCATTCAATGAGCTGTTTTAAAGATCTAGCATGTGTAGTGTTCTGACTAAATGTATAGTATGAGAAAGCTAAAATCACAGGCATCCAAAGAAAAGTTGACAATGCTATGTAAAAAGTTAAAATAAAAACATTTCCAGAAAATTACACATAATTAAAAATATCTCTGATACTAACCTTAAGACCGTCTTGGTACTGTTCGGTTTTCTCATTGACGATTTTCCTGTGTTCATCAAAAATTTCTGCCATTCTTCCATACCACTGGAAAACATTATTATTTAGCCTAATGTCTGCTGGGGAAAAGTTGGCACACTCAATAAGGAAGGCGAGGCAGTTTTTAGAATCCACTAATCTCTGTCCCAGTTCGATCATGTCACTTGCTTCCACTTTCTCAATGTAAGCCTGAGAGAAACCAGAAATGAGACATGGCACTTTAGTGAACAGCTCATATGATAAATTGCTATTAGGTTCTGTTCAGTCAGTTCCAACTCACAGTAACCTTGTGCACCACAGAACCGAGCACTGCCCAGCTGTCCTCACAATCACTGCTCTGCTTAAGCCTGTTGAAGCCATTGTGTCAATCTGTCTCACTGAGGGTCTTCTTCTCTGCTGACCCCTTTTTACTAACCCACAGTGACTAAATGTGCACAGACTTATTAGAAGAAAAGTAGAGACTTTTGGTTCAAGGTAGGGAATTGTGGAACAGTGTACCTCTCATCCTTCATATCACCTAAAGTTATAGATAAAAACAACTATCAACATAAAAACACTGCAAAACCAGACAAGAATACTATGCAATTCTGGAAGATATAAAACAGATGCTATCTCAACGACACATTCATTGTTTCCCAATAACATTATTGGGCACATCCTGGTGTGGTGTTACAGGGCAATATACTGGATCACAAGGTCTGTTTGAACCGCAAGTTCAGCAGTTCAAACTCACCAGCCACTCCTCGGAAACTCCATATAGGTTTGCTATGAGTTGGACCCGACTCGATGGCACTTTACATCAACAACAATACCATACTTATGCCAGGTCCTGGCAATCCAGTATGACCAAAAGTCAGGCATGGCCTTTACACTTAATGGAGCTTACGTCTAGCTGGGGAGATTTATTCAAGTAACCTTCAGAACAAATGTAACATTGTAAACTTGCAACAGAGATGAGTACTGCAAAGGAAAGACACATCACTTAGGAAGAGCAGATAGTGGAGATCTGAATCGTTTGGGGTGGAGGGTAGTTTTCCACAAGTGCAAAGGAAAAACATGAGCAAGAGTTACTGAGGAAATGCAGGAAGAGAGAGAAGACTACAAGCAGAGGGAAATTGTGTGGGCCTGGAGGCAAGAGGAAGTCAGTGTGAAAGCTGAAGGGCCAGCTTGGCTGTAGCAGGAGGGAAGGTGTACAGTGTCAGGTCATGAGGTAAACTGAGGCCAGACTCCACAGAGTCTTATGGGACTCAGCCAACATGACATGCTTGCCCAGATGCCTCATGATCTCTGAAAATATAATTTTGCACAGAAAGTGAAAATAAACAAAACCCAACTGACCAAGTAGTCAAAATTTCAGAGGTTCAAAATGCACAGGAACAAAATCAATAGTTTCCTATATACATCAGCAGTAACCAGCTTTAGAAACAATGGTGAAAAAAAAATCTTATTTGTAACAGGTTCAAAAAAATTTTTTTAACAGCTCTGGACAACTTTATGCATTAAATCTGAGTAAAACTATTAGACATATGTTTCAGGATATTAAGACCTAATATGATAAAGATATATATTCTTTGTAATATATAATTTTAATCAAAATTGCAATGACATTTTTAAAGATAATTTTATATGATTCTAATATTCTCTGAAATAATGAATACTCAAGAATGTCTTGAAAAACAAATGGTAGATACTAACCCTTCCAAATATCAAAATATTCTATATAAATGCAGTAATTTAAGCAGCTGTTGGTTTGGTCTAGGAATAGAAGATAGAGTAAAATAGAGTTTAGAAATAGATTCTTGTATAGGGAAATGTAATTTTTAGCAGATTTTGCATTTATAAAGTATAGCTCATATGAGGGGTGAAATAACAGATTTTCATAAATTATATTGCAACAACAGGTTATCAAATTTGCATAAAAGAGTTCCCCTTCCCTGGTAGGAGAACTACAGAGAAGATATATCAAGTGAAAAGCATAAAGTATAGCAGAGTTTGTATGACAATAACTTCATTTTTGCAAAATTGTATTCCTATGTATATAGGTGTGAGTGTACAACCAGTATGTGTGCTTTTAGGGTCAGTCAAAAAGTATTGCTAGTATTGTTCCAGTTCATACATGTTGTTGGTAAGTGCCCTTCAGTCAGTTCTGACTCACAGCTAGCCTGTATAGAGTTTCCAAGACTATAAGGTCGTTGTGGAAGCAGAAAGCCTCATCTTTCTCCTATGGTATAACTGGTGGGCTCAAACCCCTGGCCTTGTGGTTCACAGTCCAGTGCTTATTTCGCAGAGTCACTGTGCTCCCAGGGTTTATTCCAAACAAAACATGTCTCTGTGATCAGTGGATGGCTACAGGCAAGTTCTCTCAGTGATAACAATTGTCTTAGTCTCGCTAGGGTGCCCACATATCTACGTTTGCCTTTGTGTCTGTTGGTAAGATAACAATTATGAATAGTGCTCTCCGAAGTATTCTGGTAGATGACTGCATTAACACTTTCCCTCTTCCCATATCCATGTCCGTTAGCATCTTCTTACTATGATTCTCTGGCTAGGTGACTTGCTTTGGATAAGTGAAAGGCAGTGAATGCGACACTTGTTCAGTAAGATTTGGTTGCTCTTTTATCCTCTACCATGCCATGAGAACAGGCTAGCCTACTAGAGTTTGTGAGGAGAGTGGAACAGAGTAAAATTTCTGAAAGATAGTTACACTAGTGGACCAAGCGAAATAAAACCCTGCATGTGATCCAGCTGACACCAGGAGACCCACCTGGGAGAGTTCAGCCTAAATACCAAACCGCATTCATGAGCACATTTAGAAATAAAGCCTTATTATTGTAAGCTTCTGTTTTAACTTTTGGCATATTTGTTACTCAGCACTCTGCTGAAATAAATACCCGAGACACAGCTATAAAGAGTCCGAACAATACCTTCATTTCCATCAGTTCTGCTGTGTTTGGAGGAGTGCTTAGAGCTTTTTCAGCTATCCTCTCAAATTCATCACATAATCTGAAACACCAGAAAAATCAATCTTACACATTTATAATGAAACTTCATTTCTAAAACATATATCTATTTACTATTTATATGTTCCATTACATGAAAAATAAAGTAAGATTTGCTTTTGTTATGTGCTATCAAGTCAATTCCAACTCATAGCAACCCTATAAAGCAGAATAAAACTATCCCGTAGGGTTTCCAAGACTGTAAACTTTTACAGAAGCAAATTTTGAGGTCTTTTCTCTTGTGGAACTGCTGGTGGTGGCTTTGAACAGCTGATCTTTCAGTTAGCAGCTGAGTGCTTAACTATTATGCCACCAGGGCTCCTAAAGATTACAACTTACCAATGTGACTTCTCTAATGAATTAAAAGCAAATTTGTGCTTATTAATTTATTCAGTACATTTTTAACAGTTATCTATTACCTTCCAAATAAAATACTAGGTGACAGATATAAGAAATAGATAAGACATAATAACCCTAAAGTAACTCACAATCCAAAATGGAAGACAAGAACATAAACAATCATTACCAACCTAGAGCTTGAAGGGCTGTAGCAACATTGAATTGAGAAAGCACAAAGGGCATAATTGGTTCTCATTTAGGGGTTGGTTACAATGTCCTGCATACTCAGATATTTCTGGTAATGTATGAATGTTTATACCAATCTGGGTTGTGGCCAGTATAAATAATGAACTCACTGTAGGGTACAAAAAAGAGCAGTGGGAGCTAAGGCAGTCAAGATAAAAAGTGTAGAAAATTCTTCAAGAAGATTGGCTGGAGAGGAAGGAAAAAGGAAATAGCTTAGTGATGATATTGAATTGAGAGATAGAAGAGGATTTTGAACTTATTTGTAAGCTTCAGGGAGAGAATCAACAGAGAACAAGAGGATTAAAATAAGGATTTCATGGGGGACAACTGGTTGAGGAAGATTTAAGGAGATGGGATGTTGAGATTACAGATAGAAGAGCTTTTAAAGATGTGAAAGTCTCCTTGCCCTCTGAGAATGAGGATCTGTATGAGGGGTTCAAGCGGGGTCAGTTGAGAGGTGTAGGGACAAGAAGTTGAGATCATCCAATGAGTCTGGTGAGAGGGAAGAAATGCCATTAGGAGGAAAAGGGGGAAAGTAGAATTAGCATGAGTTCAGAGGGCAAGTAGGAGGTAGGGAAAGAAGCTATGAAATTAAATAAATATAGAGCCATGACCAAGCACTCTGCTACGAACCAAAAGGGTAATGGATGACTTGGACCCCACAGTCACGCCATGGATAAAAGATGTGGCAGTTGGCTTCCATAAACATTAATTACAGCACTGGAAACCCTAAGAGGCAGTTCTATTCTGTCCTATAGGGTCACTGGAAGTTGGAATTGACTCCGTGGGTAAACATAAAGAATATAAAGAAATGTTCACTCTTCTTCCAGTACTTTTAGAGGAAAAGGTGCCTAAAGCTGACTATATCATTCTGGTTCCTACATAAGTTAAAACTACCTAGTCAAGTCCTCTTTTACCAGGTGCTTCCCTCCTCAGCCTTCTCTTAGACCCCTTTCCACTTACAGTGTCTGTGGAAGCAACAAAAACTATTTCTATCTTGGGATATACTGTCTTTTCCATACCTCACTGCCTTTTACATATACATTTCTGTAGAAAAAGAAGATGCAGGACCTAGAATTCCTTCACCTACTTTGTTCACCCGGCAAATTCCTACTCACCCTTCAAAATGAAATTCATATTTTACTTCCTCTTTGCAGCCTCCCATAATTTCCCCCCATCTCTCCCAAACTCCACCCTGAAAGAGAATGAATTATTTCCTTCTGTTTTATCTCTGTGGCGTCTGCTTACTTTTTAGTATAGGACTTACTGCATCAGATTGTCATCTGCTGGTTTGTACATTATTATGTCTTCTACACTGTAACTTTTCTGGGCAGTTTTATTTTTATTCACATTTAGAGCCCAAGCACCTAGTCTTAGACTTAACACACAGTAGGTAAATAAAGCTTCCATCAGGCTTTTAAGCTTCCTGAAAGAAGTATGCTGTTTAATGATTCATTTTTTCCCATTGATATAATGATCATCAAAAAAAATCGTGATTTCCCCCCCACATATAAGGGACACCAGAAGAGATGTTCTTGGAGTCACACTAGTACCAGTCCTTGGAAGACTAGCTATACTTCTTGTCTTAAATAAGTAGGCATTTTGTTTTACACTCTAGTATTTAGTGAATTTACTGAACGTAAGTAAGTCAATTTTTCTAAAAGTTGTGATATTAGCTAAATGAATCATCACTCAAGATAACAATTTGATGTGAGCTTAAAGAGTAATTATAGTAAGATGCAGTTCCAAATTTGACAGTCCTTAAGACCCCTGGTGGAGTCGTGGTGTGGCTCTGTGGGTTAATGCGCCAGACTGCAAAGCCGTTTGAACTGCAAGGTTAGCGGTTCAAGCTCACCACCTGCTCCTCAGAAACCCTTCCCAGGGTCACTATGGGTCGGAACCGACTCAATGGCACTTAACAACAACAACAAAGACCCCTGGTAACTACTGTGTAAGTCTTCTCTGAAACACACTTGGGTACTCAATGACACACATTTAAAATCTAAAGTGAGCTGACATGTACCTGAATTGTACAAAAGAGCATCAATACATCTGAACACTATATTAACTCATGACAATTAGAAAGGCACATTTGTGGTGCTAATAACCACAAAATAACACTTCAACTCAAGTAGAAATAAACATTGACATTCATTTTTCTTTTGAATCATTTTTGATACTACTATAATCCATTACCTTAACCTTAACAAAGTGTTCATTTTTCTGTTTCGCTTTCAATGGTATGACACCATTTTAATTGGACTAAATATCGAATTCAAAAACCCAAAAAATATGATTAAGTAAATACCTAGTGTTTACTTCCTGGTGATCTCTGAACATCTTCGCTATAAGTTTCCCACAGATAACATCTGCTCGCTTCACCAAAGCTCTGATTAATTCTTCACAGTGCATTTCAAACATTCCTAGACGAACAGTCTATAGCATAGGCAGCAAAAGGTAAATTTATTTATAACCATGAAAAGAAAAAAAAAATGAATTTAGATTCCAATATTGATTTTTGTGTGTGTGCTATCTAGGGAGATAGAGGTTATTTGTTTTGTTTTTTTTCTATCAGAGTTTTAATTTTTAAATATGATTGTCACATTAGGAAAGTGAAATAAACACAATAAAATAAACTGTACAAAGTCAACGTAGAATAACAAAAAATATTTTACTAAAACATAAGATTTACAGAAGTTTCCAGATAAGCCATACAAAATGATCACAAGCTTTTTTTGAAGGAAGGATTCTACACTTAACAGCAAAGTCACAATGTTGTTAGTGAGGGCTGTGATGTTTGTTTAATGTTCCCAATTTGGTTGAAACAATCAAGCTTGTCCATCTACTTTCTAAATAAAGGTAGACTTCACTAGTGGGTACATTCTAAAGAACAACTGGTTAGCTGCTTTTCACCAATGCAATTAGATCACCATAAAAAGGGGGAAAGGAGCCCATACATTTAAAATTAAACTACCCCCCCCACCCCGACAAACAAAAAAGTAAAAGAAAACACCCACACCCCTGCAGCTAACCCTGACAACTAGTTCATTCACAGTGCTTTATACTTAAACCATGATGGGGGAGAAATGCATAAAAGCAGAGAGGAACCACTGCTTTTAGACATTTAGTAACAATCCAAATGATACTTCTAGCCTCTGCTCATGCTTTACAACAGTGAATCAGGACAAGACAGATTTGCTAATGTTCATTTAATCACCAAAGGACTGAACATGTCTGGGCTTTTTTCTGTAATGGTTCTAAGACTGTGTCCATTAAATGCAAACAAAAGAAGAAGTCTTGGCAGAACAGGAGAAGTGAAGCACACTAGATGATCAAATCGATTTAAATATTATCCATGGCATATAGCCTAGTCCATGCGCTAGGTGTTTCTATGGCTTGGGCTTCCTTGGTCTTCCACTGCTCTGCTACATCATTTGCTAATGGATCATCTGGATTGGGAGCACATAACAAAGCCTGGATGGGGAGCAGAACTGTGCGGGTCTGCAGTGCTGGGGACCAATTATCTTTTAAAATATCTAAACATATTCTTCCCAACTTGTCTACATTAGGGTGATAAATTTTGGTCATGAAACATACTTTAGGAACTACCATTGGGTATTCTTCGGGAAGGAATAGTTCAAGTTTAAAAGTCCCTCCCTCAAAGGGGGAATCCTGACGACATGAAAATATCAGGCTTTGCTCTCATCTGGTTCTGCTTTAATGCCAGGAACTGGTTCTGCCAACAAACAATGGGTTTCCTTAATAATCCTGCAGGGCAGCCTGGCCATCTTGTCAGATCCCGAGTTCAGCCTCTGCTCTCATCTTCCGGAGATTGAGTTTTGTTTAGAAATATGATGCAGGGAAGAGTTTCTGAATACTCAGATATTACAACTATCTGCTGCAGTAGGATAAAGCACTGGGCTGCAAGGTAGGTTTGAACCACAAGATGGGCAGTCCAAACTCACCAGCTGCACCTTAGAAACCCTATACAGGGTTTCTATGAGTCGTGACTGACTCAATGGCACTTAACAACAAACAACAATCTTCTCAGTCAGTCCCCTTGAAGGATGTGTTGTCTCAGAAGTCAATTCTATTTCAGGACAATGATGGATATAAAAACTCCAGAGGACTTAGCTACTTTAAAAAAGACAGTGTGGAATGCGGATAGATCTCTTGAGATACAATAGTGAATAATTGTCATCAGGACTGATTGTGAGGGTTGGAAATGTAAAGGTAGATGTTTTGTAGCAAGGAGGAGGGTGACTAACTTTGCAGTCTAGGAGTGGAGATCCCTGGGACCATCAAGGGAGAAGAGCGGAGAGCGGGACCCTACCCAGAGAATCAGTGACGCCAGAGATGGAGGCAGAGACAATGACATGGAAAGATGGAGCAGCTAGGGACTTTAGTAACAGAGAGGGAGAGGGGCTGTGTGCTGACGGCTGGGGGGCAGGTTTGTAGTGTATACCCTTTGGTTGGTTGATGATGCATGGAGGGGATTGTAACCATGGCAATGAAACGATATACGATAGGATGAATGTAAAGCTAATGTTCTCCCATGTAAACTATCACATAATTCACAATAAAACAGTAAAAAAAAAAAAAAGGACAGTGTGGGTTTTAAATGTTCTATTTCCTCTGTATAAAAGCAATACATGTTCATGATACAAAAATTGCACAATGTAAAAAAGGACAAGAGGTATACATTTTAAATTATAGAAGTAACCACATCTTGATGCAATTACCATATTTTCTAAAGAATCTGCAAACACTGAAACAACAACAACAAAATTAGATTCTTGGAAATTTTGGGATGGGAGCAAATTACCATGAAGCAATTAAAAGTTAATGTCCTGGTACTAGATTACCAGCTTCATAAGAACAAGAAACATGTCTGTGTGCATGTTTTCTCCACATCCCTTCTCCCAGGGTTTATGACAATATAGGAAACCTGCAAACACCAGAACTTGTATAAAGCAGAAATCTGTCAGAAAAGAAAAACTCAAATATTTTCTCTAATAAAAGAGTAAGGAGTGCTGGTGTGGAACTGTAGGATAAGTGCTGGACTGCGATGTCGGTTTGAACTGCAAGGTCAGTGGTTCAAGCTCACCAGACACTCCTTGCAAACCCTGTACAGGGTCGCTATTGGTCAGAACCGACTTGATGGCATTCAACAACAATAGAGAGTAAAAGACAGGTGGTGAAACTGCACCTTGTAAAAGGCAGAAACATGAGCGACATGGAAAAACAAGGAAGTTTCATCAGGCTCCAGCTCTTAAAGAGCTCACTGTATTTCCACCACCATCTCATGCTGTTGTAGTGTGGCATGTTGCTATACTGATTTGTTGTTACTAAGTGCCATCGAGTCAGTTCCAATGCATAGCGACCGTGTACAGGGGTTCTGAGGAGTTGTTGGTAAGCTTGAACTACCAACTATGCAGTCCAGTGCATTAACCCACAATGCCACACCCAGACTCCACTATGTTGATGTTGTTGTTGCTAAGTGCCATCCGGTCGATTGCGACCCATAGCAACTCTGTACAGGGTTTCCAAGGAGCAGCTGGTGAGCTTGAACCACTGACTTTTCAGTTCAAACAGCTTTGCAGTCTGGCACATTAACCCACAGTGCCCTAATAGCATGTTGCTATGATGCTGGAAACGATGCCACTGGTGTTTCAAATACAAACAGAGTCACTCATGGTAGACAGGTTTCAAAAAAGATACCAGACTAGGACAGATGAAGAAAAGACTGTTAATCTACTTCTGAAAACCCTTATAGGTAACAACAGAATCATGTCTGACTGGCTTGCTTTGGACATGTCTTCAGGAGGGAATGATTGCTGGTGGAGAACAATGTGTTTTGTGAAGTGTCGGGCCAACAAAGGTGAAGGAGACCCTAGAGGAGATGAATCAGAATAGTAGCTCTAAAGACGGATTTGAACATGCTAGCAACATGAAGAAGACAGAGGACCAGGCATGATTTGTTCTGTTTGCACTGGGGTCACCATGAGTGGGAACTGATTTGATGGCAGCAATCTCTCTCAATCACATATCAGAGTCTCAATCCATATTTTTCCTGTTGATAGTAATGGTCTAATTATTTCCCTGTATATTCTAGAAATACCTGCTAATGAAATCAGGAAAAGATTATTCATTAATGATAACAGTTGTACAAAATTGGGGTGGGTCATTCACCTTTCTGGATGTGTACTGTATTTCCTCCATTAATTTTTGGTATTTGCGAATTTCATCTATTATCTTCTCATAATTATGATTTTCTGCAAGGAAAGCGTCCACATCTTGCTCAGCTTTCTTGGTAACCAAAAAATCATACTTGTCGTAGAGTCGAAGGTGCTCCTTAGGTGCCAGACTCTCTTTCTCAATCACTTTCTTAATTTTCTCTTTGTGAGCATCCACAATTTCATTCAGAATTATTGGCTTTAAGGTTGTCCGTTGGGATTTACTTTCCTACACAAGGAGGTAAAAATATAATGGCTAAGTTCCATCAAGTCAGTTCTAACTCATAGTGAGCCTGTAGAAGGCTTCCAAGGAGGGGCTGGCAAGCTTGATCTGTTAACCTTGTGATTCAAACCCACCTTGTAGTCCAGCACATTAACCCACAGTGCCACACCAGGAGTCCAGGACTCCATTGTTGTTGTTGTTAAGTGCCGTCGAGTCGGTTCCGACCCAGAGCGACCCTGTACAGGGTTTCCGATTAGTCATTTAAAATTCATTATGTGTAAGTTGGACTCCTGGTATGGCGCTGTAGGATCAGCACTGGACTGCGAACCACATACAGTTTCCTCAGAAACCTTATACAGCGTCTCTCTGAGTCAGAACCAACTCAACAGCACTTAGCAACAATAACTTATGTAAGTTAACCACATCTCACCTTTGTGAAAATGTCAGTCTTACCATATTGCCTTTTGGAAACATTTTTTATAAGGTCTTTATATTTTTCTGATCTCATATCTATAGAAAGATGCTTTTGATAGGTAACAGCTCAGATTCAACCTAATTACAGCAGTGTTTTAAATATTTAGGTTCCTAATCATTTTTTAAATTTTTCATCAAGGCTACCTAGTTTTGTCCCCATTCTTTGGTCAGTCTGTCGTACTGTGGTGGGTTATGTGTTGCTTGATGCCAGAAACTATGTCAGTGTTTCAAGCACTCACAGGGTTACTCATGGTATACAGCTTTCAGCAGAGCGTCCAGACTAAGAAGAAGAAATAGGAAGCTCACTTCTGAAAGGTTAGCCACCAAAAATCTTCTGAACAGTAGTAGATCATTGTCTGAGATAATGTTGGAACATGAGCTGCTCAAAAAATGACTTGGAAAGAGCTACTTCCTCAAAGCAAGTGTCAACCTTAATGATGTGGATGGAGTGAAGCTTTGGGGACTGTCATTTGCTGATGATGCACAACTCAAAATGCGAAGGAACAGTTGCAATTAATAATCAGAATATAGAATGTACAAAGTATGAATCTAGGAAAATCGGAAGTTATCAAAAATGAAATGGAACACCATAAAGAATGATACCCTACCAAAATTTAGAGACATTTCAAGAACAGATTTGATGCATTAAACACTAATGACCTAAGACCAGAAGAGCTGTGGAATAACATCATACAGGAAGAAAGCAAGAGATCATTAAAAAAGACAGAAGAAACTCTGAAACTTGCTCTTAAACACAGAGTAGCTAAAGTTAATGGAAGAAATGATGAAATAAGAGTTGAACAGAAAATTTTCAAAGGCAGCTTGACAAAACAAAGTAAAGTATTACAATGAAATGTGCAAAGACCTGGTGTTAGAAAACCAAAAGGAAAGAGTATGTCAGCATCTCTCAAGCTGAAAGAACTGAAGAAAAAATTAAGCTTCAACTTGAAGTATTGACAGATTCTGTAGGCAAAATATTAAATAATACAGAAAGCATTTTTAAAAAGATAGAAGGAATACACAAAGTCACTGTACCAAAAAGAATTGGTCAATGTTCACCCATCTCAGAAGGTGGCATATGATCAAGAACTGATGATATTGGGGGAAGATGTCCAACCTGCACTGAAAGTATTAATGGAAACCAAAGCTCCGAATTTCAGTGGAATACCAATTGAAACGTTTCAACAAACTGATGCAGCTCTGGAACCACTCACTAGTCTATGCCAAAAAATCTGAATGGCCAATTGAATGAAAGAGATCCATATCTGTGGCCATTCCAAAGAAAGGTGACCTTACAGAATGAGAAAACTATTGAACAATATCATTAATATCACACAAAATATTTTGCTAAAGATAATTCAGAAATGGTTGCAGGACAATCCAAAAGGGAGCTGCCAGACATTAGAGCCAGATTCAGAAGAGGATGTGGAACAAGGGATATTAGGTGGACCTTTTCTGAAAGCACAGAATACCTGAAAATTATTTACTTGTGTTTTATGGACTGTCAAGGTCCTATGTCAGGATCCTGCCTCAACAAGGAAGTGTGGGTGTCACGAAGAAGGGAGATCTGGTGGCGAAAGTGATAGAGAAAGAGACGAAATATATACAAAAAAGACAGACACACAGATATGATGCAAGCTGGCAGGTAGACAGATCTGCAAACATATTGCCTAGCATTGCCCAGCATTGCACAGCATTGCATGCAGAATTCACTCTACCTCAGCCTTTTATT